TCTTAGTATGTACAATAAACACAGGCTAGGGGAGCACCTGAGAGGCTTCAAGGTGCCTCCGGCAAGGGGGCAAGGAAGGGAACAGGGCAAATAATCTGAGGTGCATTTTCAGGCAGTATATTTTGACTATCATCCTACTTCATATTTATCCAACCGGAGGGAACGAGGAGCACAAAGAACTGGAACTCTCAGGCAAGCATCTTACACTTCCAAGCAGAAGGGAATGCAAATTTTTCAGTCAATTCTTACATATAATGTTCCTTTAGCATGATATAAAGGACTCAAATTTATAATTAAATATTATAAATCCATCTTAAGTTTCACATATTTGCATCAACGCTGATCTTAACTGCAGCCGTGTTTTCAGAATCTCATGAGGGGTAGTAACACTCCATGCTTGGAGGCAGGACAAGCAGAGACAACTCGGCACAACTAATACAGAAACACGGTGGGTTTATGGCCAACGCCTAAGATTGCTCTGCTCTCTACTAGCTTTCTGTGAAGTTAGTGGGGTTTACAGGATATACTCTGTTCAAAGATCAAGATATACTAGATTAAAATTAAGTAAACTAACTCAAAACTCCAGTTACCCTTTACAAAATGTGTTAATATTGACAGCTCACAAATCAAGTAAATTGCCCTAATGCATTGCTAAGCTGCATACATGACATCTGCATATACAAAATTGTTGTCTTAAATCAGAACTATCAAAAGCAAGGGCATGACAGAGTTCTTCGGCGATGTGTGACAGCAGCACAACTGCATTAAGTACAAAGAAAACCATGAAACCTGCCCTACACCTTGAATTTTTGTAAGAGAAGGAAGCAAGCTCACGCTTTAGCTCATCTTTTCTTAGTTGAAACACATTCCCCGAGTGTGTAACTTTTCACTCTTTAATGTTTAAATGTAAGGAAACTTTGTTTAAAAAACCAATCTCAATAATTTAACTCAAGTGTTTACGTGCTTGCTTAGTATTAAAACACCTGTGTTGACTCGCAAATTAATGTTTTCTGGAGGCCTTACCCTAAACAAATTGATTCCTGTGCCTAGTCTCATTGAGGAAGTTCAGTTAAAACCCCTTTTTTATTAAAAAGGAAAAAGAAAGAGACAAATTTGTTAACTCTCATTTTATTTACTTGCGCCTCAAAAATCATGACAGTAGTGCCACGGGTCTTCGTTGTACTGGGCATGTTACAAGCAGTAAACCCAGTTTATGAGAGTTGGGATTTCACATGAAGACTTTTGTACTTAGTATGGGAGTGAAGTTACTGACTCCTCCCTGTTAGATTTAGGAGTATAAGGCAAAAATGCCACAGAATATGAAAAGGTAAAGTATATGGACCAAAGAAGGAACTGCAACTTCTACTATAATTTCACTCTGTATCCAAGATTGCAGACCTGCCCCCACCTCGCAAGTTTATGGTAGCTAAAAGAACTTACATTCATTAATTACAAATTACAATGTCTTTCAAATGAAGTAGTTCATGCCTGCCACAATCACAATGAAAAAAAAAATCCTGGTGGCAGTGAACTTTCTTGAAACATCAAACTGTAGAGCTTGTTGTTCAGCAGTAATAATATTTCTTCAGGCTGAGGTGAGTACAGTGGAATTATGAAGACATTCCTTTCTCCATTCACAAATCTCTCCCTAAAGAACATCTCACTGAAAACAGGAAGCCACCCTCTGCTCGATGATTCAGAATTCTGAGAAGTGGTGTTGGAAGGTATTTAAAAAAGAAAAGAAAAAGAAAAGCAAAAAAGAAGCAAAATCCATCTTTGAAGCCCAAATTATACAACACTAGAATCAAGACTACGAACCACCTTTGCTTAGAGTTCCAGACTACAAATGTAAAGTCTGCAGCAAATGTAAATATCATTCCAGAGTTTTACTTTCTAGAACAGAGAAGTTAAATGAGGTTTAAAGAATCTTCAAGTTGTTCATAAACCTTTCAAAAGTATAAGGTGCTTGAGACCCAGATACAACAACCTAATTTGATTAAGAGCTCTGCTTCTCTACTGGTACCTTAGAGAACTATGTCCAACTGCACTTTGTTACGCATTTGAGCAACTTTTTATTTGCTTTTATTCTCCTGCCCATACATGGGCAAAATAAAAGTTGTAAATTGAAGGATAAGCCTACTGCTGTTGGGACAGAAGTTTAACATTGGGCAAAAAGCTTTCTGTCTACGCTGATGCTTGCCTACATCTTCAGATTACAATTCAAAAAGTGAACGTTGCAGACAGCTATGTATAGACTACTATTTTTGACCATTCACACCTGGAAATAACTTTCTATTCTTCATTTGTCTAAACTGAAGTCTATCTAGAATTAGCACAGTATTGTGGCAAAATTTCTCCCCCTCTAAGTTATTCCCAAAACTGGCAAAAATTAGAAAACTTTGGAAGAAAACCCAAGAAGTTTGATTCATTTGTAGTTTGTTTAGCGTTTTAAAAGAAGAAAATTCTCATCTTTAGTGTTCACCCGCAACGAAACAGTTACACCAGACAACTCTAGTTACACCAGATAAGGAGAAAAAAAAAATGCAGTTTAATCCAAATCCAACAGGATTCTTCTCCCACCTCCCCTTTCTACCATCGCAGTATCAGTACATATTATGAAAAAAACTTAGAATCTAACTCTACAATACTTTTACAGAAATTATGTTCTCTTATGTAGAAGAGCAATACTAGTTTGAGTTTACAGTGTGTTCGTTTGGGCATCTGAAAACATCCTGCAAAGTCTCAAAATAGTCTTTGAAGTTGTGCAAGTAGACATTCATTTCACAGAATAAATTGAGAATGAAAGAGGGCATTAGTAACAAGGTAAGGTATAAGAAAAAAGTTACACTGCAAGGAAAGACTCCTAAGAGGAAGAGTGCAATTCCATTAAATAATGCTTCTATATTTCAGGACATAAATATTACTTTTTTCATAGAAAGCGCAGCCATTTAAATACTGACATCTATCAATTTCATGTTAGGGTGGAAATAAAGCAGTCACAACCTTTGCGTGCACTGTAAGCGCAAGCTAACTTTACAAGCAGTAATACATGTGTATTAAGACTGAATTTGGAAAATTACTGCATTAGTTCTCAAAATATGAATTATGCATGTTTTCATCCAGAGCTTTATGAGAAGTGTTCTGTTTCTGTACAAGTAGTTCAAGCATGAACTTCTTAAGCGCTGGTACACAAAGCAGTTATAAAGATATGTAAAAGTTCATTCAAAAATTTCAGACAGGATTCTTTTCTAGAATTGGTAACTGCTTACATAGTTCCAATTCCTGTGAGGAACTGGACGTTCACTTCCTCAGTGGGAACAGCTTCTTAACGCTGCAATTACTTAGATATGAAGGAAGTTCTTTCATGTGTTTTTCCTCACATTTTATGTCCATCACTTCCTCATCATTTCATCATGCATCTTCAACCACTGGGACACTGCTCCCTTGAAGCCTGCCTAAGTTTTCAAGGAGAAAAATACTGGGGTTTAGGTATTACCTAGGTTATGATGTGTTGATTTTACAAATGTGGCCTAAATTCTAAATATGCGGGGGGGGGGGGAAATTTCACTTTTTTTTAGCACAATCTTTAGATGGTAAAGTCTAGAGTTTCTAAAAATTTTACTTTCCTGGGGTTTGATCAAACTGACTACCTCCAGTACTGAGGAACTGTACATATACTATTTCACAGAGCAACCAAGAATGCTTCACTACAGAGCTTCTAGGACAAAGCCTGATGTTCCCTGTGGTCAGTACTCTTTGGCTGGGCACTAAGACCAGACCAGGGCTCCTTCCCTGATGTGAGCGAAGAATTTTCTCTCCCTCCCACCCAATGCCATCTGTACAGCTGCCTGGAAAGGAAACACATTAAAAAGAGCACAGCTAAAAGGACAATTGGGACATAAAAGTGTTATAAGACCTAAACAAGCAGAGGTTGAAAGTGAAGGGAGGAAAAATACTGATTAGCTCATCAAGGAGGAAGGTAGCTAGTGAAAAAGTAACTAGAGCATTCAGTGCTCCAGTCTCGTCTGCCCTGGGGACCAATCAGCATGCAGAGTGTAGCAAAAGAGATATTTATGGGCATCATCAACCACATGCTCTGGTTTTTAATGATAAATGAAAAGGAATTTCAGTCTTAACTCCAACTCTGCACTGTGAAAGAGTGCATTACCTCCATTGAACAACAGTGATGACTGATGAAATTACCAGCAGGAAAGATCAGCTGGGCTCCTTAATTCACTTTGGGCAACATAAACTATCTCAAAGCTTACTGGTATTAGCTAACCTAATCTGATTGAATTTGCAGGAATGGATTAGAACAAGCTCTGATAATTCTGTGCCAGAGAAACAGGAGGTACCAAGTATTTGGGTGTGACATTAATTTTCAGCAGCACAGCCAAGATCAGGAAATCATCCACAGTCCACGCATTCCACTTCACAGTCCAACAGTATTAACAGATATTTAAAGTCTGCAAAACTCTACACCTAATACTGCAAGAATGCTCTTCTGTACATTTCCTTGAAACCAAACAAATACGCTTTAATCATGCAGAAAAATCATATTTTCTCTCCAGATTTTTCTTTTTTTCTTTCTTTTTTTTTTTTTTTAGCTACACTAAGTCAATTTTAACAATGAATTCTTCCTGGAAAGAAGGAAAATAGCAGGCAACATATTTTCAAGTTTCCAAAACAGCCACTGATAGTCTAACCTTTGAAGACAGATATTTTTCTGTTAGACTCTCCCTTACGTTAGAACTTGGAATATTCCAAGTCCAAAACTGTAAGTGGAATTTCATTCAGTCAGAAATTCATCCACCCTAGCATATGGGATGCTATTAGAAGAAATATCCACGGCATGTGTTTGTCAGAAGACAAAGTCATAACGGTTCCGTTTTGTCCTAAGATGTATGAATCTGCACTGTGCAAGAGATTTAAAAATCAATATTTACTATCACTACTAAAACACAAAACATTCAAGTAGTATATAACTGTAATGCAAGCCCTTGCATGGCAATCCAAATTTATTGAACTACTGATGCTAAGTCATACAAAATTGCACCACTTTAATTAAGGCTTTTAGTTTACATTTGGCCACCTCAAAGCAGTTGTAACATTAGGTTGGTCAATTTAAATACTGTGGCTCCCTGTTGGATATACACACAATCTTTACACCCAAACGTTAATGCATACAAAGCAACAAGGCATTGTTAAATAAATCAGCAAAAGTTAATTACTGCAACTTAGGCCCTGTGACCAATTACACATGATTAAAATTACTTCCCACATTCACATCCACAGTACTCTTCCACCATTTAACATCTCAACCAAAACGTTACACATGTAAAACAATCACTAACAGGCAAAAGTACTAAACCTGTATATTTGGTATTGCAAATACACTTATGCATGAGCAAGCAAGGGAATTCACAGTGAGAATCTACAGCTGCAGAAGCCCGAAAATGATTTACAAAAAATTGTTAAATCATTAAAAAATCGTTTTAAAATATACACTTCTTGTTGTAGACCCCCACTGTACACACAACTATAAACATTGTTCCCTATGTAAACAAGGAAAAGGAAACATACAATAAAAGGTTGAAAAGTCTGGACATTTCCTTCCCAACAGATATTAAAGGCCATGTCTTTAGTCAGACGTTATACTGAAAGGACTCTTAAAGACTAGATCACTGTCTCCACAGGTTTTTCCTAAAATTAAAAAACTATATAGCTGTTGTGTTAATCAAAGCGCTTTTGTACAATACGATGATGATGATGATCCTGTATTTCTTTAAAAAAGTTACAATAAGCTACAAATACCGATGAAGCAAAGTTATCTGGAGTAGTCTATATAGGAGCTCTTTGGACTTTCTTTTATTATGCTAAAATAGTGGTGCTTTTAGGATTTACATTATTGTACTCTCCAATAGAAAGTGGGGATTGTTGAAGTATACAGTACACAGTTTTCATACATGTACAACATTGGTGGATGAACAATGTCTCTTATCAGTAATACTGGATGTAGGCTCTGGTTTTACCAGTTGCATACACTTAGAATATTTATAAGTAAAAATCTCTCGTGACACTGGAAAGTGATTAGAATGTGCAAACTGATGTAGTAGCTTTCATCCATTTCTTAAAGGGTACCACCACAGGAAAGTCCATTTAAGATGTTGGTAGGTTTAATAAAGTTGGAATGCTGGCACTGTTGAATTGGGCAACAGTTCTTCAGACCTGTAACAACAAAACAAGAGGTTAGTATTAGTAACAGCTATTTGTCATTGCTCTTCAGTTAAAACAACTACAGCAGGAATTACTGAAGTTCTTGGCAAACAGAAAATAACCTTATCGCTTCTCCTCGACTAATATAATTTCTACTGTACACACACAAATAACAGATTATCTCAATTAGTAAAACTGAATTTGGATATATATGGTAATCCAAGCTGAACTGTGGAAATAGTATTTGATGGATGGGACTAGTTTTGCTTACAGCACGACAGTTCCAGTGGCTTGAAAAACACACATTTGGAGGATCAAAGCATCTGAATCAAAAGCCCTGTTAAGGAAACGCAGCAGCCATTTCTGCCATCCTCAGCTAATGCTTTTGGAACTCTGTTTTGCTTTCAACTGATTCAAATGTTCAATTAAGTAAGTTTTAATATTGATACCAAAAAGAGTTAAACATAGCACTATCTGCATATTAATGAAAGCCATCAATTTTTGACAGTGAAATGTCCTACCAGGATCCTCCAGTATGTCAAATAGGTCTATTGGATGACAAAATAATGTATCATGGCACTGAAGCACCCAAATCACCATATGCCCAGTAAAACTGAAGGGAATCAACATGAACAGGCAACTTGCATGATGTCAGGTCAATCAAGAGAGACCTCTATCCATACTAAGGCTCAGAGGTAGAAAGGGGGAAACAAACTTCCCAAGAACCAGTTGCAGAAAAAAAAAAATTCATGCCTGCTAACTTCTGAAAAGGCTTGCTAAAGAGCAGGCTGGAGCTTGCTTGAGCCTTCAGCAGCATTCTTAAAGCATGGATTTAGTCAAGTAGAACATTAGATGACTACCGATGAGTAAGAAATGGATCTAGTAACCAATAGCTCCAGGTCAAATATTTGGAGTGTGACAATGATCACTTCACTGTTCTCTTCCAAATGTACTAATTACAATGCAGCCTATAAAATACCCCTAATGTCCAAAGAAAGCAAGCTAAATTCCTAAGAAATCATGCAAATATATGCAGGAGTTCAAAGCAGGAACTAACATTTTAGCATGCAAACTGCAGTATTTTACAATGTGTATTCCTGGTAATTGAGCTCTTGCAGTATATTCTATCAGCCTTTAAAAAAGAAAATCCTGTTTCCAAAAGCTGAAGTTTTTAAGTATCAGAACGAACATCCTTAATTTGAGTTCTATCAACACCTTAAAGCTTGGAAAAAAAAAAAATCACACTAGTGTGAACAGTGTATCTTGCACATATTTGTAGTTTTGACTTTGGAACAGCAAAATAAAGACCATAAAAATTTCTATGGTAAGGTAAATCAAGAATTATCAAAGCTGTTCTGCATCAACAGCTACCACAGTTGTTGTTTTGTTTGTATTTAATAGTCACAATACACAGAAAATTTTAAAATATTTACCTGGCTCAGAGCTACAGTACAGCTATGTATTAAAGTAGCTGACATGATGACTTTTTGCGTGCTTTTCCAGGCACTGGAGTTTTTCTGTTAATTTGTCGCACAAGGTCATAAAAGATCTGGGAATATAAAAATCAGTTGGTTATTGGAATTAAGAAGCTTCTCTCCTTAACCTTAAGCTTTGAATCTTCAAACATAAGGTACTCACATACTCAAGAACCCCTGTAAATAGTTATCACAAATCCAGAAAGTTAAATTGTGTACTTAATACCTGTTTATTTTCTAAGATAATTGTCTCTTGAGGCTTTTCTGCTTTCAATGAAGCAAACTGGAAAGGCATCTATAATCTGCAGCTGTTTAATCTCTGGGTCAAATTTATCTGAACATATATGATACATGTCACAAGGATCAACTACTATACGCTATTACTTTGCAATTTAGCACCACGGTCAAGAAACAGGCCACAGCTTTCTAACTCAGATCACTCTAAAAATATTCTTTTTAAAAGACTTCTAGTAAGTTTTAAGTTTTTCGTGCTAACTCAAGTACACCGCATATTCTACAATAGTCTCTTGTATTCAAATGCAATCATGCATTTCCAGATACTTTGAAAATACTAAAGTCTAGAGAATGAATTCAGCAGCCTTTCTAGGACTACAGCATGACATAAGTGTAACGTTTCCTAGAAAAGTAAGTTATGTATGAGACTCTCACACTTTGAATCTCCTAAAATTCTAATTAGAACATGATTTTGTTGAAAGGCTAATTTGAGACAAGTCTACATACTACAATTAAACAGCATCTGTTTCGTTCGTAAGTGACACTGTTCCAATTATTTCTGCGTCTCCTAAATCAAGGAAGTCCTCACACTAAAGCCATCCTAGCAGTTTCCTAAGCACTGGCTGCAAAGCAGCAAATATTCCAACAAGGGCTTTTAGTATTTGATGAAAGTAAGTTCTAGTTTATTAAACATATGACTTTTATATAGTTAAGCTGATTAATATGTATTTGAGAAAAAAGGAATAGTTTCCAGAAATTCCCAACTAATTAAACACACATTACTCATTTTTAAAATCAGCTGTTCTTAAAACCCCTGTACTAATTTGATTACATGCAGGTCTTGCACAGAGACCCTTTCAGCTTGACTGATGCTGCCAACAATGTTTTCCAGAAGACACAATGAATTGCCAGATTTATAACAATACTCAAGCTGTTCCAGAAATGTAAACACTTACACAGCTTCTTTTCCTAAAAATTTTTGCATTCCTTTCTTCATGCTGGCAACCCCACTGGATAAGGAGGCATGTGCTATGGCCAAGTCCCAAAAATGCATGTGTTTGATCACCTAGCTCCTGCTAAATAAATAGGTAGCTAGATAGTAGAGAGGCTTTTGCCTCACTTTTCCTTTACAGAGCACCTATTTAGGTCTCTTCTCTGATCAGCTGCTAATTTGGACAAAACCCTTAAGAGTTTTTGTCCTTACCATCTCAAATAATTAACACTAAATAACTTAAATCAATTAGTTTTAAGGACTTAAATCTTTCAAAGGTTTTTTAAAAAAGCGGTCTAGCAGTGCATTCTCAGTGGATAGAGATTATATCAACCAGGGAATGTAACATGAAACAAGTATTTATCTCAAACTCATATGAATATATTAATTTTAGTACAATTAGTTTGCAAATTATAATTTTAAAAAGTCCTAAGCCAAAGCTAACTACATCCCTTAATAGAAACATCTCACAAATTCTCACAATAGTTTTGTCCATTATTGTGAATGTTAGTCATAATTTTGTTAGTTTTTCTTGACAAATGGTAATGTTTGGCTACCAGAACACAGTGTCCCATCCTTCTCTCCCTGCCACCCCCTCCCCCATAGGTGGTATGCCTTACCTCATTAACATTTATCTTTGATTTTGCAGAAGACTCTAAGAATGCACAGTTATTCCATTGCCTTGCTAGGTTCTGACCTTGTTCCTTTCCCACAACTCTTTCATCTTCCAAGTCACACTTATTGCCAACCAGAATCATAGGCACCTAAAAGCGATTTAATACCAGCAAAGAATTAATTACAATTTTGGGAAGGCACAATGTGAATGCACACTTAAACCCCTATCTGAATCCTTAGCGGATCCTGACCTCCAGAAGAATCAACCTCTGGTATAACAGAGACTTAAGTTTACAGTTGTGTGAGACTTTAATCTTCAAACCAAAGTGCCTGCGTTTTTTTGCCTGCTGTTTGGCAGAGTGCTGGGGGGAATGGTTTGAGGAGTCAGTATGCTGCCAATTTAGAAAATTTTACATCTTCTAGAAGACCTAATGAGATTTCATTTTCAGATGTTTAAGGAATCAAGAAGTCCACTGAAGAATCTGCTACAAAAGCCTTACATATTCAGAAATCCTGGAAAAAGTGGCCTGTACTGGGCAGCATGATGAAGGACACTAAAGCTCCTTTCCACCATTCCTCTGCTTCCAGCATATCTGCAGTCATTTCAAGAGCAGTTTGTTCACCCAGTTCTTATTAGTAAGCTGATGCACACAGAGGAAAGAAACATGCTAGCTTATCAAAATTACTAACTACAGAAAACACTGAATTGACCTTTGTGGCAAGAAAAGGCAATCATATCAAGTTTATTTTTTTTTTCCTTTCTTTCTTTTCTTCCTTTTACTAATTTAAGGACATAGCTAAGTTTCTCCCAAATTCAAGTGTTGGAAAAGGTTTATAATGTTTTGATCATTTAATTTCCCCCTACTGAGAAAGCAGGTCATGCCTAAGCTTTGGCATAGAAAAAGCTTTATATAAATTTTGTTGAGAACTAAAGTTACGACTTGAAGCTCACTATCTTTCTCCTGATACTATGGAATGGCTTTCAAGACTGAGGGAAGTGTTCTAAAGAGAAATACAATTCCAAGGAAATACTTCCAAAGTAAGCTTATGCAAATCAGCATAAATATACCATGTAAACTAAGGTTTCAAATATAGTCACATTTACCTCGATTTTAGGCTACAAAATAAACTTGATGCTAAACAAGGCTATAATTTGGGAGGTTCTGGATGGGTAAGGCACATGCAACTTAAATGCTACCCTTTTGAGACATGTTTGTGATAACGAGTAATAAAATCACTTCTAGAAGAAATCTACAGAACATAAGACCTGCAAATGCTTACGCTTAAGAGAGTGCAAGGTGGTTTGTATTACAAGAGTCACAGTGAACTGCCTTGAAATTGAAACATTTAATACATTCTGTGTCTGCTGACAACAGAAGCATACACGGGTACATGCAGTAAAGAATGGATCAAAGTTTCCATAAGCACTGTTTAAATGAGATGAGCATACGTAAGAAAAACTGTTCATTGCTAACATTTTTTTTTTTTCCCAAGGAAGGTTTTCTGTCAGATGGCTACTACCTACAAGGTGTTTCTGTTAAAAAAAAAACCACACTGTTGCTGCTGTTTCACACTTGAAAGACCTTTCTTCCCTTCATTAAGGGACTAAGTAGTCACTTGCTACAACCTAAGGTGTTTTTTTAGTCAATTATAAACTGGAATGTTTTAGCCTCTCTTTCTAGCTTTAATAATGCTAAAAGGGACATATTGAAATTGTGTAGAAACAGTATGATCAAACTTACTTGCAAGCACACACACAATATACAAAAGCTACATAACACACAAGTTTAAAGCTTAGAGAACTGTCTTCCGTAGGAATTTAGAATTTTGTGCTTTTAAAATACCATAAACAGTAAGCATATTGAAGAGAAAAAATGAACTGTAGGTTTTTTTAAACCTTCATTGATAGTAATTGAGGTAGAGTTACTTTAGAAATATCTTCTGCAGTACTAGTGAATAAGGTTATATACAGTTTCAAATAGGGTATTTTAAAGGAAGAGATCAAAAAAGACAATTATCCTTCTATACCATGTGACAATTTACAATTTCTCCAGTTTGTCTTAAGAGTTCCATTTCTGTACTATGCATCTACTCGTTGATTTGTCTCATAATTTAAAGCTTGGATGCTATCTGATCACAGTGTATGGATTACAACATCTATAATGAAAACTGTAAATATAAGCATTAAGCATTTTTAGAGATGCTTACATCATCAGTGTCTTTGACTCGAAGAATCTGTTCTCTTAGATCCTGTAAATCATTAAACGTGGACTGTGCTGTGATGGAATATACTAATGCAAAACCTTGTCCATTTTTCATGTATAGGTCTCTCATTGCTGTAAACTGTTCCTGTAATTAAAGAAGAGATATAGATGTTGGATTCAGTTTGCACTTTTCTTACACAAACTGCCATACACTCCAGGTCACAAGTGGATCACAACTACAATGCATTTGTGCTCTCCCCGTCTGTTTAAACTGACCAGTATTTTACTGTTTGACTATATGCATTACAGTAAACTGAGCCGCTTTTAAATAAATCTGGTTTGGAATATTATCTGGGGTGGCTGAACAATATCTAGATATTTCCAAGGGGTATACCTTGGGGAGAAAAAGAAATATAAATCACAGAAACTAAAGTAATTTCAAAAGAGACGCAGTACAGTAGAAGGTACAGTGTAATCTGCAGATTACTTAAGTTACACTCCTCTCGAATCCTTCCTTACATACGAACTTTTTCCCATCTCCTGACCATTCTTTAAAACGCATCGCGAAGTAAATGCATCCCTTTTCAGCCTCCATTTTGTAATCTAGGCACTTTACTATGTTAAACTCTACTTTCATTTTCCAGGAGACTGACTAGAGGATGGAGACACTCAAAAGACTTGTCATATTTCCTAGACTTCAGTGACAGCTGTGATATTGCATATGAAGACTCACTGGCGCACTGCACAGCAGCATTAGGACTTCTCCGCTCCCTGTTTGAAAACTCCCACCAGTGTGACTGTTGAACAGCATTTGCCTTTCTTGCATTGGTGACTTTGCCATCTTGTGACTGATCAATCACTCACCAAGTCCCTTGCTGTATGTTGGATGAAAAGTGCAATATATTTTGAGAGAACAGCCACTCCATCTTTGTGTGGTTTTATACGGCCTCACTCTAATATTGGACCAGATTACTATTATAGCTCAGAGAACACATGCTACGCTCCAAGGGTCTTGAGCTTGCACTTACTGGAATCAATGACGGAAATTACTGGTTTCAGTAGATTTCAGAACAAGTCACAAAAAAAATCTGACCAGTATGCAAAGGGTCAGCACAATCCCTGCACTTTGAGTTCACGTAAGCTGACTAAAGCGATACTATTTTTATCCCAATGTCAGAGTACATCTCATACACAAAAGAAAAAGGAGAAGAAAGCACGTATTCTCTACAGCAACAGAAATCAAACCCAAGTAACTATTGGGCCTAAATTTTCCTCTGGGCAATATAAACTTAAAACAGCAGCACAACTTCTTTTAAAATTCTCAATCTCATGTTTCCCCTATTACAGAACATGAGCTCACAGGAAACTTGCAATTCATTTTCTGCTGCAATACTCAAGTTTTGTTTAAATACTAGTACGTTAAGGAACATCCTTTAATCCGACGCACTGACTACAGTTACTCTTTAGAGAATTAGGAAGGAAATGTGTCATTTGCATCCCTACAGCTTTTGATAGTTTTAACACTGTACATCAGTATTTAGGAAAGATGGGTTTACATACCGTTCCTGCAGTATCTAAGATTTCAAGCATACACTGTTGTGCATCTACTTCAACTTGCTGTCAAGAGAGAAAGATGTGGTTAGAATTTTTCCTCTTGCAACTCCCCCCTCTGAAGACACCAGGAATTGTGTGATTTTATAAACAAATTCATAATGCATAAAGCAACATAATGGCTTAAGAAGTTTATACGGATATACACTTTGAAAACAGCAGGAAGAAGCCTTTCGAAGAGCCCTAGTGACATTTTCAAAAGCAGCACTAGCAGCCAAGTACCACTTTGCAAAGTGATTAGGGATTTTTGATTATTAAAAAGGAGGCTGCTAAATTTGTAATGATGGTTATCAGCAACTGGCACAACTAATTTCTACCTGTTTCAGGGATCATTCACAGATTGAAAGAAAAGTACACGTGAAAGCTAGAAAGTTGATTGGCACCCTAATGCTCATTTAATACTAATTTAAATCAACAAGAGAATACGTAGTACACAGCAAACCGTAAACCAAGCAAACTATGAACAGTAGTGTCCCCAAAACAAGCTTTTCATGACAGTAATTAGGAAACTGATCTAACTTAGAAAAATTTGCAAAAAAAATAGGTTTAAGAAGCCGAATCAGTTTCTGTATCTATTTCAGAGTTGCTCTATCTAGTTTCTACCTCAAAAAAAAACTCACCAACAAAAAAAAAAACAGCCTTGAGGGCACTAAAGGACATGGATGTGTCCTCAAGCTATTTCAAGCAGGCAACAAGCATTTTTTTTTCTCTCCTTTCAAGCTATTGGTACACTTCCCTGTTTCCATTTGCACGTAAAATTCCTAGTTGGCAGATCAACACTCAGAACTTCATGTCCCCTATTCCCAATATATGGATTATCACTAGTTTAACTTTAAGCTTTTCTTTTGTTACTTGATTTGAGCTTTAGGGGCAGGCAAGAGGAGTATTTCCTCTCCTCTCACATCTCCTCCATGTCCCCTAGGGATGGAGATTCTTTCAGTAGCCACTATTGTAGCAAGTATTGCTGACAAAGTTATTCAGCTAATTAAGCAGCATCTATTCTCTTTATGAAGAAATATTTGGGGATTAAACCAAGGTGTTAAGTTTCAAGACTTCATGCTCAAATTATTTAGTTCCAGACAAGCTTAAAATATTTCAAGCCACATCCTCTCAACTTCAATTATTATACAATTAGATTTAAGATTAATAGTACAGAACTGCAACTGCCAAACCAATACATTTTAAAGTCACCCAAGTCAAGCAGCAAGTTAGAACTGTAACTAGCAGTGAGGGGAAAAAAATCACTGCATAAAGTGTACAGACTTCAGCAAAACTTCAACAATTCGTCTAATTCGAAAAGAATACACAGATATATTCCTAGTCATTTCAGGACCAAACCCTGAATGAAACATTGCAAGATCTTTGCTTAAAAAATGAATTAGCAAAAGGCAAAATTTCTTGAGATGGCTTTACTTTTTCAGGCTCCATGGAAACAGTTTTTGGAAAAATTCGCCCAGCAAACATCATGAATCTAGTACGACCTGAAGAATGTAAATACATAACAAAGGAAATGTTTCCCTTTAGTACAGCTTATGAATATTTTTGGAGTCGTTTATTGGGCCTGACCCAGCAAAGGCCTGCACCAAACATCAGGATAGGATCCAAAATTCCTGTTCCTCTAATAAAAAAAGAAATAAGTGGCTATATAGAATTTTTTTGTGGCTGTTGTCTCTTTTATTAAAGTTCTAGCTTTGGCTGGAAGCCCACACGCTTAAGACAGACTAGGATTCTTCCATTATACAAGGTCAAAGAAAACAAGTATGAAATTATAGTTTTGCTCTCACTAATTCCTCTTCTGTTCAGAATAGATTTTGGTAACTATAGGCTGCAACAGTTAATGCAGCCTCTTTATTCCAATATAAATGTAGCCCAGTGCTGAAAGAGGGGGTTTCTGCCCACTCCCTAGGGTCTGTCCATCTTTCCTCCCTTGTGTAGACACCGGCATTTTTGTGGCCACATGGTGAGCTACACATAGAATCAACGAATTTGAAAAGTAATTCAGCTAAAAAAAGAAAGAAGGATTAAGAAACTGACAGAGCCAAAAACTCATCTGCTTCACTAAATGGTTAACTCTTCTGGTAGCAGTCCAGAGGTAAACTGTCTTAGCCTGGAATATTAATCATGGTCTCAGCTGAAACTGAAAAGTGAGCAATACGGAGATTCAAGATGATGCAAGCAGAGTCAGACCTTTCAGCCTGTCACGCTGAAGATGGGAAGAGAGAAACTAACAGGCCACTGTGTTTGTTCATTTATGATAGGTTTGTGTTAACTTGTTAATAAAACAACAACCCATCTAATGGAAGCATATCAAGCTATCAGTTAAATTGTTAGGAATACAATATGATGCCTCCAGTGTTCTAAAGGTGAGCGTGAAGTTGTTTTTAGCAGACATTCCTAGTAGCAAAGCAGCTTACCCTCCAATATGCAAGTCCAAATCTATCTGAGATACTAACACATACACAAACTATTAATAGATATTATAAAATGTGGTAGCATTTTTAAAAAACAAAACAAAAAACAAACAAAACAACAGTGTTCCCAATTCTCACAACGAAATTAACCATTTTTTACTGACTAGCTAGTAAGGTATTATGCTTAATTAAAAAGCTAGTCTTGAATTATTCCTTTTAGACAGAGTTTAAGAGCACCTTTTATATTTCAAACTTGTTAAGTTACCGGTATTATGTGGCATGACCAGGCATACCCTTTTCAAGCAATGACTCAAATATTTGACAGTATGTAGTGCAGTCTTAAGTTTCGGTAACACTAGAGAGGTGTTTTGCATATACCTTTCTGTAGGAGTCTTCTATCGTAGGATCGTATTTTTCAACAAATATTCCTTGAACAAACTGTACAGTCTGCAACACAAAAGTTCTTGTAAGATTCTTCTTGTATAGTGACATTTTGTAAACACTGTAGACAAATTACTGTTCTAGGTGTATACTCAGTTATCCATTACATTTCTGAAGGCAAAGTAAGTGACTGACATAACTATAAATTATAAGAAACAACAGGAAGTTAGATAGATGTGTACGCCTATTTGACTAAGTATTGTTAGATGAAGCAATGCTACATCCTCCTTTATCTACTCTCGCTTGGAGCGTAAGAATTAAAACATGCATTCATTTAAGGTTTGTCTAACTGTTAGAATCATTATTAGTTTCTAGTTGAATAGGATACTGTACAGCTGCATGGCTTTTACATTTGTATTTAGAACTACTGCAGCTTCTGCTACTTATCTGCCAGGACAGGAATTAGTCAAAAAACAACTGCCAGCATTTACTAGTCTTAACTAGACTCAGTAGGGATATTCCTGTGTACCTAGCACGTAGGACGTTTTTAGCACAAGTCAAGTGGAACTTTAAGACTCAATGGCCAAGTCTGAGAAGACAGGTTCAAATCCAGAAACGCTGCAGTAAGATAAAGAATTCAGAGGTGAAGGAAAAAGTTCTTTCACAATCTAAGATGATTTGTCATTCAAGTTTCCCTTTATGAACCGCTTTGTAAGAGAATAGTTCTTACCTGACAGAGCGGACTTCTAGACCTTACTTTATGATAAGGTACGCAATTAAACTGAAAAACGTAAAGTTCTTAGGTGGGCTGAGAACATCCTATTCTGTGAGCTTTCTCAGTACTAGTCTAGGTCAGACTAAACTTTTCCGTCACCATTTAACTAAAATGCATGAGCTCTTTGGTATACAAGCACCTACCTGCTGTGGCTACTTGCAGGCAGAGATATACAAAACATGCTAAACTTTCTACAAACATGCAAACATATATTTGCATAAAAAAAAAAAATAGTGCTTTAGAGACTGCTATCAAGCACTGAGCAAACAGCACCCTGAAGACCTTTCTAGAGCCAGGAGTTACCAAGGCCAGACACAGGCAAACCAGTTCATTGTGCGAGTTTCATGAAGCAGCTTGATCTCCCACAGACCTATAGCTGGGTTAGCCAGTGAAGCCATAGACTTTCATAATGCTGTGGCTATGCGCTTCTCTGTGTTGGACAGACAGAGATCTGACCAAGCACCATCCATAAGGCCCATACAAAAATATCAGCACCTGAGAGCGCATCAACAGATGTGGATACACCAGTAAAGGATGTACCTATTCCAGCCAGGAAGTCTCAGCAGTCAGTAATTATATTTATGTTTATTTGTGCACAGTTACATAAATGAAAGATGGGTTAGTAGAGAGTGTATTAGAGAGAAAAAAAAGACATGAGAAGCCTAAGAAAACATACTTGAACTGCCTCAGAGTACTTACCAGAGCAGACTTTCCAACACCTCCAGAACCAAGAACCACTAGCTTGTATTCACGCATGATGCAAGAGATAAATCACCCTCAATACCTAAAACACACAATAAATTATTCACCATTTTGATCAACAGGACAACTGTTTTAGTATTACTACAGCCACTGTTAAGATTGCATATATAACAAGACATGAAGAGTTAAACATTGGTATCAACTGATAAATGCAGGAGATATACCATTATAATCAGGCATAACCTAAGCAGGATGTCACTTTAACTATTACACAATATGGAAACTATGGATATTTATTCAAGACACAGTGACTGCTGAACGATGCCACTTTTTCATCTAGCACACATAAAGTACCTTTAAGGTTTTCTTGTTACCAGGATTTTAACAATTAAAGAACCATTTTCATGTGTTATCTAACCTAACTTCATAGTCAAGGTAGTATAGACTTGGAAAGTTTTTTAAATGGAGATTTTTATATCCCATGAAACAGTAATTTAGAAAAAAGGCAAGAACAGATTAAGACTCTGTAATAAAGACCTCAGTATCACAATCTTGCCAAAATATCATAGGTGTTTCAAAGAAAGCACGCATGTATCTGGAAGGAACTGCTCACACCCATGTGTATGTATCACTTCCTTAGAGACCTCTGGATGGATTCATGTCCTTTAACTTACAGCAAGGAAGAATCAGGCATAGAAATTAATTTACTCCAAATGATAGGCCAATTACTGGGATTACAGCGTACCATCCAGTCAGGTGTTCATCTCATAACATCTTCCAGAAACTGACAAAATCTCTTCTAGTCATGCAAACAAGTCCATAGCATCTCTCAGCTATAGACACAGTAGGCATTAAAGTATTTCACAGATTTCTCAAGACCTTTCACTCACTCACAACAAGTTGCTTGCACTATGTATTTTGCAACAAGAGCTTGCAGTTTTACAACCCCTATGTTCACAGTATTGAATAGGTTTATCAGGTAAACAGCTGCTACCATTTGTTACCTACGGTACCGATACAGTAATTCTAAGAACATGTCTCAAATGTCACAAACTACTACATCCTCTCCTGATCCACCCCTCAAATTTATTTCATATCACACAAAAGTTTTTGTAATTTCATATATACACACACATAAATGATTTTGCTTATACAAGCTGACATGCATGAAATATCTCCACTCTACCCTGATGAGCTGAAAGCATCAGCATGTTGACAAAAAAACCCAGAAACTTCTTTAGGCAACAGCATCTCTTTATTTGTATTGTCATTTACTTGAAATAACATCAAAAGTTTGTATCTACTGTCTCAAAGTTTGATCTAAATGCAGAAAGTACAAGCATGGCACTACAATGTCATTCACTAAACAGCGTTTGATAGAAGGACTTAGTTGTTTTTTTTTTTTAATATAGTGGCCATTTTCAAACTATCAATTCTTAATGCAGCTACAATAAAATGCTGCAAACCATCAGATACAGTATTTCCTCTACCTCACTACTGTTACCCCGTAAAGAAATATTGAATAAATACTACTATAGTAAAGCTAACAGTTACTACTGATAAGAAACAATTATCCAAGAGGATATAGCATGCATTTTCTCATTCTGAAACACTTAAATGCTAAATAAAGAATCAGAGACTTGTGTAAGAAAATTAAACCTACCTCTTCCCAGCAAACAAACATTTCTCAAAAAGAACAGCAGGATCCCAGAAGTCAGTTTTAAAAAAAAACCCTGCTTAAGTCTGAAAGTTGTGTAGTGTTTTGCTAGATATCTAACTGCAGTTATAATGACTGTAGTTTCATGAATAACTAGGGGCAACTAAAATATTCTTTTGAGACCATTCCTCTCCAAGCTAGATCTGTTCCCCTGTTCCATGCTAGCTAGTGTGGCTGCCTATAGCAGTCTGTCAGATCTGCTTGCTCATCTTTGTCGAAAACTGACCAAGCAAAACCAAAACAAGGCCACAGATTTTTAGGACGTGTCTTTAGGTGACGCTTCTCAAGAAAACACACCTCTTACAGTCCTGTGACTGACCGAGCTAACAGGACTATTACTGCTGCCCTGGGAGGAAGGGCTCCCTTCCTTTCCTGCACTGGCTCCAGTACTTGTCAGATTGAGTTACATTTTCTCCCCTCTCTGTTCCCTCAGAAAGATGAAACCCTTCCCAACTGACAAATAATTTGAGGGTTAGGAAAGAGGGGAAGTGCAGGGAATCCAACACAGGCACTTGTACAAGGTAAGCAGCTGAAGCAAGGTAAGAAAGACCCGTCTCATCAGCAGTAATCTCACAGCATCTCTGGGAGTCACACCATCTGTCAAGTGTTTAGCACAAAATGCTAAGATGATTTACATAGAAATTAGAGCACCTCCATGTTAGTGTCCATCGTTGCCATCACTGATTAACTGCACATTGTCAAAAGGCTGAGAAATGAAGAGGCCAGGTTCTATTTAATTGTCTTCTTGCAAACACATAATGAGCAATCTTTCACTTATCTAAACCATTTCTTGCACTTTAAGCAAGCATGCAAGAGGAAAGCCATGAGCAAATAACATTGATCTGATGCCTAGCAAAGCAGGTCTCTCCACAGGCTTTTGTTGCCAATAAATGTAGAGACTATTCAGTGATTTTCACATCTAATAGAACATCTTTTCACTCCTGGCTTTAGAAACTACATTTCCCTCCCTACACAGATTTTTTTTTTTTAAAAAAAACCAAACACCATGGACCACCAGAATCATTCACATCACGAGTTTAATCTATTTGGCACCACCGTAAGTGTTCAATTAGATCCACAAACCCGTACGTTGTCCAGTTTTTCTACAAACAATAGGAAAAAGGATTGTCTCTAACTGTACTGAAATGCAACTTTCAAACTCATGACAAGTTAAGCCTGTAACTACATCACCTGTCATTTCTTTAAAACAAACGTTCAGTTATGCCTTTATTTTCGGAAAGGTGTCACTAGAATGACATAAACATAGTGGGTGTAGGGGAAATCCCAGTAAAGTAATCTGAGTGAACTGCAGCAATTTCACTGTCTTGAAAAGAACAGTTTAAACTGAATTTTTCAGTCTTCAGTTTGAAGTTAACAACTAAATATGGAGATGTCAATAATGAAGGCTGACAGTAATTTAGAAGTAACAGAACTTAAGCAGAAGCTACGAAGTGTCTGCTGTTTTACCTACTGTTTTGAGTCACTTGTGACTTTTTCTTACCAAATGATCTACAATTCCTTAGAGAAAATTCCAAATCCTGAAATAAAGAGTCAACAACTTGATTTCAGTGAGAAACTTGCAATTCCATTTTGGCTCTCAAACAGGGATTCAGGAATTTAACACAAGTCAAAGCTTCTTTCAGCATCCAAATTTTGAAGTTCAGCCCTAAATATCCAGTCGCTGTAACACATTCTGGAGCCGATTTCACTACTTTAAGTGGTGGTACATAATTAAAGCATATATATACACACACTATTACGGCTTGGTTAGCCAGTCGTCTGAAGCACCTAAGGAAAAAGCTTTTTTTAAGATCTCTGAAGGTGACAAAGCCAGACTGCAGCACACTCAAACGTTTCTCTGACCTTCCCTCCAAACTCTGGCAATGATCAACGTAAGTACTAACTTCCTCTTTCTGCTTGACATCTGTTTTGTCTTTTGTAGAGTTACTCCTTAACTCACCAAGAGCACACACTAATCCTTTATATATACACACACCTCTGCAGCAAAGAGGTAGCTTGGCATCTGATCCTGCCTGAACTTGACTTTCCAGTGATTCCAAACTGGCCTGACCTGACTGCTCTAGCTCAAACCTATTCTTCCACATCACATGTTGTACAGACTGCTTCCATTCTAAACCTCGATCTTACTCTTACTTTTCAGATTGACACAGCGCTTGACTCTGGAAATAATATCATATTCAGCTCCATCCAGTGCCAACACAAATTCCTTTTGACTCATTTAGGACAAATGAGTGGGGGCACAGGAGGAAGATGACAAAGTATAAAAGAGGAGGTATAAGCCATAAAGCACGCTATACTTCAGTTACCTGATAGTATTTGAAACAACAGAAGCCATTAAGCTTCAAGCAAGACATTAAAGTTCAACTGCTGAAAGAGAGACAAACTGTAAAACCTGAGACGGAAGCTCAAACTTCTGGTGTATTTCCTTTGCTGCCTGAATGCACTTCTCTAGCTATTCTGAAACAGACTGGACTTAGTGCATGCAATCATAGATTCATAGAACGGTTTGGGTTGGAAGGGACCTTAAAGATCATCTAGATCCAACCTCCCTGCCATGGGCCAAGGGACACCTTCCACTAGATCAAGTTGCTCAAAACTTCATCCAACCTGGCCTTGAACACTTCCAGGGATGGGGCATCCACAACTCTGGGCAACCTGTTCCACTGCTTCACTACCCTCAGAGTAAGGAATTTCTTCCTTAGGTCTAATCAAAATCTACCCTGTTTCAGTTTAAAGTCATTACTCCTTGTCCTATCACTACACACTCATGTAAAAAGTCCCTCCGGCAGCTTTTCTGTAGGCTCCCTTTAAGTACTGGAAGGCTGTGATAAGATCATCCTCCAGTCTTCTCTTCTCCAGGCTGAACAACAACTCTCTCAGCCTGTCTTCATAACAGAGGTGCTCCAGCCCTCGGATCGTCTTTGCGGCCCTCCTCTGGACCCGCTCCAACAGCTCCAATGTCTCTTTATGAAGTCTGTGCCTTGCATTTCACATTGTCTTCCCCTCTCACCTCCCAAAAAAAAAGAAGTTACTAGAAGAATATGTAATTATGTAACCATTTGTACAGTCAAGAGAGTCCAACGTAGCACCTTAAGAATAATTTTCAGCAGTCTACACTACCCAGTCACTTCAATGATACTCTTCAGTTCTAAAGCTATCAGAAAGTAATCGTATTAACCAGAACGGAGGAAAACGGGTCATTAGATTGCACGATCTCAGTCATTCAAAAAAGCAGACAGGTTTACATGTTTCCTTGTCTTGTCCCCCCGATTCATTGGACAGTTGATGAGAAGCATCCACCCAAGAATTACACGCAACTACCTTTAAACTTATTCCTACCAAATAAA